AGCCTGTTGTGAGGTCACAGCTCCCACCACTGCCCCTTGGGCACCAAGTTTTCCCCCCACACGGAAGTTGCCACCCTTCCTGCCAGTGCACGTGGCCCTCAGAGGGTGGGGCTGTGTTCCCAGGGCCGGGTGAGCCTCTCAGGGTGATGGGAGCAGCATGTGCTGCCAAGGCCCAGGGCCAGGGTAGGGGCCCTGCTGGAGGGAGACCGTGAAACCGAACCCTGCCTCCCACTAAGCTCAACACATCAAGGTTATTTTCAAAAATATATAATTTTTATTGATTTCAGAAAGGAAGGGAGAGGGAGAGAGAGAAACATCAACAGTGAGAATCACTGATGGGCTGCTTCCTGCATGTCCCCCACTGGGGTGGAGCCCACACCCCAGGCATGTGCGCTGATGGGAATCAAGCTGTGAGCTCTGGTTTGTAGGTGAGCGTGAGCCATGACGGTTGGCACTACACGGTTATTTTTAGGGCTGAGTGTGAAAAGTGAGCCTCTAGACCCCCTTGCCTGGGCTTCGTAAAGGGGATCCCAGCCTGTCTGAACCTTTGCCGAGGTGGGTTTGCACAGTGAGCCAGAAGGTGCAGCGTCGGCTCCCGCTTGGGGCCCGACTCGAATTTCCCTGCCTGAGCCCATCTGCTGACAAAGAAGGGACAGCTTGTGTCCCAGACACTCCTGGGGAGCTCTCCGCATGCCAGTGCTGCTCCACCCAGCCTGCCTGCCCCTCGGGGCACATCCTCTCCTCCAGGCGCCTGTCTCTGATCTCTGCCAGGGCCCTGACCACGCAGCATGCCTGCCGATTGCACGTGACCTTTACCTGGAGGGCCCACGACTTCGGGGGAACACACTTCTGCAGGGGAAGCCCTTCCATCTGGCCCTCTGGGTGTGTGGCGGCTGGCAGCACCGGACCAGAAGTGACAGCACCTTTTCCCTCTCTAGCCTGTCTACCCGCAGGCAGACGATGGCCACCCCCCAGCATATAGCTGACAATGAGCGCAGTGATGGAGCCACCTGCCGCCGTGGCCGGCCTTCCGCACATGCGGGCTGTCCCGGAAGGTGTGAGGAATTCTCTCCCAGGTCGGGGGCTCAGCCAGCCTTGCCCCAGTGGGTGAAGATATGGACCTGCCCCCACCCCTTAACTACCACCCCAGGGGCGTTACATCCTAGGACTTGAGAGAGGCCCTGTGCACTCACACACCACCTCCAGGCACGGCCGTCCTCGCCGTGGCGCGTGGGTTAGATGACGCCACGCCTCTCTCTTTTCATGTCCTGTCTTATTAGCTCTCTTTCCAATGCGATACTGTGATCTATACGACACCATACTGATTCATAAGAAAACTGTACAAAATTCCATACATGTACATCAACCAGATTAAACCCTTACCTCCCATGACATGTGAAGAATCCCAAACTCTCTCCCTGCATGAAAACATTTACAGTGACTCTAGTTTCT